GACACTATTGGTTTTCAGCTTAGGGCTCAGTCACTTGTGGTTGTAGTAACTCTAAATGATTCCTTTTGCATGAACTTTTCCAGCCTTCCCTTGAATGAACAAAAATTTCTAGCACTGGCAGTGTCCTTTAGTCTTACAACCATAACATTCATTGCAGGAAGTACCACATCCTTTTGTTTGCTCTGAAGCTGCTGCTATTAACTGCAATTGACACCCTCTGTCTCCTGTATTGGGAGACCTGGCAGAGTCAGACTCTGGCCATCCCATTTGTGCCACTTGTGCTTTGGTGAATTTCTATCTTATATGCCCTTGGTTGTCTTTTTCATGGACTGATTATCTTTTTCTGCAAATTGTAGACTGGTTTTGCCTACATTGAAGCCATTTTTTCCAGAGTCATGAGTAGGTTCCCTGGAACCAGAAGTCACAAGATTGCCTCAGAGTTGTATCTTTGATGTTTCAAAGTATGCTTTGTGGCCTTGCAAGAGAAGCCTGAATGCATGAACTGAACAGTTGCTGCAATGAAGCCCTCTGAACAGGGAAGGAGAGATGTATGAGCCACTGCATGCACCTCACTGTAGAGTTCCCAGAAGCTGTGGGGTTTCCCAGCATCTCAAACAATGCTGAAGCAGAAAACAGCAGGCAGAGACATTTCCAGGAGAGCTGGAGCCTCACTGCTGGACTTGGTGTCAGGGTGCCTGGCTGAGCTGCTACCTTTGCAGAAAGAGGGAGAGAGACTCACTCTGGAGCTAAGAACAAATGCTGCTCCTATGCCTTGGATTTTCCTAGAGTGTAAAAGTGACCTCTGCCATCATCCTCCTTGTTTCAGCACTTGTGGAGGTTCTTGCTTTGTTATCTGAGAAAAAACAAAGAGGTTCCTGGTTAGATACTGTACCCAGTGCTCTAAATTGTCATACACCAATGTCTGTCTGAGCAGGATGAGGTGTCACACTGCACATTAACTCTATGCAGTCATGGCTTTCACTTAGGGTCTTCAGTTTTGGGGTGGTGTTTTGTCTTTCTGTCACCAGTCTGTGGATTTTACTTCAGTTCTATGGTGGTTCAATAATATTTTGCACACAAAATATCCTTTTTCAAGTGTGTGCCTTTGCACACTTGAAACAGTTGATATGTCTATTAAAGACAGAGAATGACTGTGAAATTGCAAAGAATTTATTTCCATGAAACTTCAGTGATTAGTTCCTAAGTTTAGCCAGTGCATCTTTTAGGACTGATCCTCAATACTGATTTTCATCCTTCTTTCTATCTGTCCTTTATTATTTTGCTTTTCTCATCAAAAGTGACATAAAATTAGGAGGAAAATAATCTCAAAATGCTGTCTTTAATTCCTCCCTGTTTCTTCTTTCCTGAAAACCATGTCTGTAGCCTTTTTGCCTTCTGCTTGCACAGTCCACTGAGCAATAACACAAGTCGTTTTTTATTCCCAAGTGGGAAGGCAGAGCTGGAACTCTGAGTCTTGCTGAGGTCTGAGAAAGGGGGTTTCTTTTATAACTTGCAGATAAAAACCTGCTACAATGAAATACAAAAGAGTTTTCAAATAGTGAGAATGGGGTTGCCCAGCTCTGTGCTGTGCTCTGCTGCTAATGCACAGCAATTTTCCCAAAACAGAGTGCAACACAGGTGGGGCTGAACTTTGTAATTGTGTAGGGGGGGAGGAAAGGAATACACAGGAATCCCTTTTCCCCTTGTTTTTATGGCATGAATGAGGTTGTGCCTTTTAGGAAAGAAGCCACACACCTCTCCAGCTGGCTGGCAGCCTCTGCCTTTCTGCTGTAGAGTGTAGCCCTGCAGCAAGATCTTGCTGACCTACCTGGGGCACTGTGAATGCCAGGCTGAGGCAGGAGAGCTGAGATTGTTGGACCTTGCCAGGCAAGAGCTGTGTGTCACAGCTCACATTTCTGGGTGTGTGCATCACACTAGAAAATGCTGCTTTGCTCTCCTTGTGTGAGGTTACTGTAATAACAGACAGTTGTTGTTGAGCCACAGAAGTTGGTAAGACTCTGTTTATCTAAAGGTTGGAAGTCTGAGAGGTTGCTGTTGTGGTAAATTCTTTGCAAGCTTTTGCAGTTCTAAGCACATGAACCTCTGCTGTCTCTAACATTGTGCTGCCATTGGCAGACTTTCCATTACATAATGTTGACCCATATTTGTGATATGTGACATTTTTTGCTAAACACTGTCAGGGATAATCTGTCACAGAATAAACTTTCTGATTATATGCTGAGACTGTCATCCTTTAGCACAAACATAACTTGTGCCTCAGACAATGATATTTCTTGTTAAGATAAGCAGAGTATAGTTCTCAGGTGAAAAAAACACCATGAGAGCATTGTGTGCTCTGAGACTGAAATACCTGGGACTCAATTCATTGCCAAATGATTGCATGGAATCACATCTGGAAGGAATTTGAGCTTTAAAAAATGTTGATCCCTTGCCCAGGTGATGGGAGTGGTGATAGGCTGAAGGAAGCATGCAGCCTGAAGTGTGACTCTGCAAAATACTGTCTCAGGCAGGTCTAGCTTTAGAATAGCAGAGCTATGGGAAAGGTTTCTCTGCTCTACACTTACACTGAGGTCTGCTGCTAGTTGGAGAGTTAATCAGTCTTTTCTTAAAAAAAATCGTAATGGTGTGGAGAAAGAAATAGATAAAGCCTAGACAGGGGTTATTGCTACAAGGTAGCTGAGAAATGAGAGGCCTCTGGGGAATGGGAACACCCCCAAAGCTGTCTGCTTTCAAAGAGCTATGCAAAATCCATCCATTCTTAAAACCCTGATTTCAGCTGCATAGAATAAGAAGTAGAGGAGAGAAAGGTGTATAAAATAGAGGCAGAGAGAATAAATTGGGAATTCTCTCAGTATTCAAGAGCAGTGTCTGTTTCAAATGGACTTTATATAATGTTATAGCAAAGTAACAAGATTGTGTGAGCTGCTGAAGTGTCTGCCACATTGTGGAAGGGAATGAATGTGGAACATAAGGCTGAGAGACTAAATACACCATCTTCAGGGAAAGAAATCTTCCAGCCTTACGTAGGAGATGCCTGTGTGCTAAGAACAGTTGCAACATCAAGGAGAAAGGTTTTGATTCAGCACAGGGAATTAATGCTTGTCAGAGACAAAATTAAAACCTGATGAATGCAGTCTCACCCACTTTAATTTTTTCTCTTTCTGATTCTAAATTTGTCCTCATTCTGTCTGTGCATTCATTCATATATTCCTCTCCCTTCCCACCTCCCCATTGACTCACACTCTCCCTTCCTGTTATTACTTCCTTTTCATTTTCTCTTCCTTTAGGTTCCCTTCCCACTCATTCCATTTCTCCTCTGCCTGACCCCTCTGCACACATTTTACATCATGATGAAAAACATCAGAGAAATAAAGAGCAGGGAGAAAAAAAAAAAAAGATGAACAAGAAAGAATGGAGGGTGGGGGGCTGTAAAGAGCACATGGTCCCTGAAGGGTGCTCAGCATTGCACTTTCTCCCCAGGATGTACTACAGATTTTTGAAGGTGTTAGAGGAATCCAGGCTCTTAAAAACTATTCCTTGCTTCTAGGCTGAAGCACTTGGTCATGGTGTTGTGAAAGGCAACAGCAGAGTTCATTTTCTGAGATTAGTGTCCCTGGAAACCATCATAAAGACTGGAAGGATCCCAAAGTCCAGTGTTAGGGGGATGACAGACATCCAGCTGTGCATGGGGCTTGCTACTGTGCCAGATCAGTGAGGGAGGACACTGGGTGGTCTTGGAACTGCAAAAAGGGAAATGGGAGCTTTAGGGACTCTCTGGACTTGCTGTCATGCAATGCTGACCAAGAAACATTACAGCCTCAGTCTTGGTGGGAGCATGCATGCAATGAACTGCTGTTTCTCAAAGCAACCAGTGTTGATATCTCATGATCAATGGCTAAACAGTGTCAATTTCCTTTTGGTGAAACAACAAACCAGTGCCAGGAATGCTTGTTGTAATGCGTGGTAGGAAATGGGCTCAAACCACTTGGTCTAGAAACTGGTGATCCCACCCCAGCATGCTGAGCTTGATCCCAAAGTCAGTCTATAACCTGGAGAAAGCAGTGCACTGCTGCAGCCCGGGGCCCAGAGGCTGCTCCTTTGCCCAGCCTGCAGGCCTGTGGTGGGGAGGGAGCTGAGCTGTCACACCTGATGATGGCTCAGTGCTACACAAGTTTAATTTATTATCCTATTCCTTTTTAAATTTTCTCCTTTTCTGGCCCCATTCTTGTTTGAAAGTGGAAACTGATAAATAAGTACTTTTCAAAAAGGCTTGATAGGAATGGCACAAATACCATGTGGACTATTTCTCCTTCCCACAAAAAGGGCAGGTAGGAAGTGTGCAGGGCAGATAGCAAGAAATGGCTCATTCCCATACCCTCTCTTGCAATCAATAACCTTCTGCCAGCTTTTCTAGGTTTTAGATTGATAAACCTCAACATTGCTTTCTAATATTTAGAAAGGCTAATATTTATTTCTGCAAATTCTTACATAATCAGGAAGGATCCGAGTGGACGGCAGACCCTTGCAGTTGGGTGTGATTGCACAGCGCGGTCATGGTGAGCTGTGCGCTTAGGGAACGGGAAGTCGCCAACTGTGGCTTGGGGACGGTTTTGCCTTGGGGACTCTGTCGGGTTATGGAGTAACCTCGAGACAAGCCACGCGGCGGCGGTGGGCAGGTGGGCCTGCTGGAAGCCGGACCCCCGTTCGCAGGGCCTAACCCGGAGGTGTTGGACTCGCCGGGAGCTTCCCGTGGAAGCGCGGCTGCGGTTACATAAGGAGCGGAGGGGGAAGGGACGGCTCCGAGGCGGCGGCCGCGGCCCCTTTAAACGCGGATCCCGGGGCGCGCCGGCCGCCCGCCTCGCTGCTGCCCCCTCCCCGGCTCGCTGCGGTGACAAATCCGCTCCTCGCCCGCCTCCTCCGCCGAGCGCTCGCAGCCGAGCCGGGCGGCGCCGGGAAGCGCTGCCGCGCGGCTCTGCACCGGAGCCGGCCAGCCCCAGCCCCAGCCCCCGGCCAAGCCACAGCAGGCAGCGGCGAGGGGCGCGATGGAGGCTCCGCGCCTGGCGCACACCATGAGCAGCCCCACGAGCCCCTGCGAGGAGGTGATCAAGAACCTCAGCCTGGAGGCGATTCAGCTCTGCGATAGGGACGGTAAGCCCGGGCTCGGCGCGGCTAATCCCTGCAGACGTAAGATGCTGCTGCCCTCATGGATGCTAATGCAAATTAATCCGCGCGTCGTATGGTCCTTTGTTATCCCCCATGAATTTGTAGGTGCAAGTGTTCCCCACCCCTCCCGCCGCTGCCGCCACCCTCCTGCCATTGAGAACAAAAGAAGAGGAGAAGGTTGCACCTTGCTGGAGGGAAGGGAGGGAAAACCACCGCTCCCTAAGCCGTGCCTGGCGTTGCGGCGCGATTACCCCGGGCAAGCCTGATGCACAACCCTGCCCCTGCCAGGAATGGACGCTGGGGCTTGTTCTGGGAGAGGCAGCAACGGGAGCCAGAGCCCGAGCTGCGGAGAGTCCGGAGCTAGGATGGGGTGGCGGCCCTGGTGGGGTTTTATTGCCCGGGGTTTCCAAAGTCCTTTGTATTCCAGGGCAATTCCCGTGCTTCAGGTGGACGGGCGGATATGCCGGCTGCCGTGGGCAAGCGGCCAGACTTGTTGCCGGTCCCTCGTGAGAGCCATGAGACGGCGAGCGGACCGAGCCTGGGGCTCGCAAGATGGGGCACGGGGGGAGACCGAGCGGGAGGCGGTTCAGCACCGCGGACAGCACCGCGCCGACCGGCCCGGGCTCTGAGCCCGAGCCCCGAGCCCCGAGCCCTGAGCCGAGCCCCGAGCCCCGAGCCCTGAGCCGAGCCCCGAGCCGCGAGCCGAGCCGCGCTCCCGCCGCGCCGCGCCTGCCGCCCGCACCGCCGCGGGAGACCGCAGTGCCCTGGGGACAGCGGCTGTCAGTCCGGCCGCCCGTCTGCTCCCCGGCAGGCAGGCGAAGTTTGGTTCCACAGTAGCAGGGGCGGGTGTTAAAGGTTGTCTGTGTTGAAGCAAGCAGATAAATGTCAGGTGGTGACGGGGGACAGCCAAAACAAGTGTACGTGCTCGAAGCGACGCTGACGGCTGACTAGGGGAGAAGAGAGACATGTCGTTTGTACCCAACTGTGACTGATAAAACTAAACACACTCACTGGCTGTCAAACAATGAACTAATATTTTTTTGTAGAGTGGCATATCATTTTTTCTCGTGTATGAGATAATTTCTATCTTGTCGTTTCATGTCGAATTATTAAAAATAACTTCTCATTCTTGGATGCAAAATGTGCTTTGGGTGTAGAATTTGTTACCTAGTAAATGTACCAAGGAATGGGGATACTGTATCAGTGACTGGTACGGCTGAATTAATGAAACTATTTCCTTGTGGTGAGCGTATTTTTGGAGGATAACTGTTAAAGCTGATGGCTATAGAGGGAGTCAGGCCAGTTTTCTCTGTTATTTTTTACAAATTGGGATTAAATACTTCACTTTTTTGACCTAGGTAGACTCTACCATTTAAGAACCTGAATTTTTGTAAGCTCTTATTTTTTCTTGTAATACTGGGGGGGGGGGGAAAGATAAGGCATTGAAAAGTCTCAGATGCTATTTTATCAGTATCAGTTTTTTATCAGTATTATTTTTATAGTTACATTAGAAATTCTTTGATTTTTTTCTTTTAATGTTGGAATTAAGATATGTGCACTTCCATCCATTCATGCCTTACTCACTGCCACAGGAAACTGAACTATGTTTATAGTAGTGGAGATTACACTGGGTTTTTCGTTAAAACACTTTCTCACATATATTCCTTTTAATTAATAGTAGCTATAATTAGAAATAAATAAATTATGCAATCTTTCATATCTGTGTACCCTAAGTAATTGTAGTGAAGTAGTCCTTGTTAATCATGACAAACTCTATTTGGATCAACACACAATAGAAAAGGACTGTTTGATTCCTACGGATTAATGTCATACAGACCAGCAAATGGAAAAATGTAGTAGTTTTGTTTCAGTTCCTTTTTGGTTAGACTTCACTGGAAAACAACAACTCTCCTGTAGATGTGGTTTTACAAACTAACCTTCATCGAGCAAGCTGCCATCATGCAGGGCTGCTCCTCAATGCATGTCTGAATTTCCACAGGAGGTGCCTGTATTGGGGATGGCAGGGAGACAACTCAGTGCCTCAGTTGGCACAAGGCTGCTCTTGAGCATACTCCAATATTCCCTACAGGTGGCACTTATGCATCAAAAAGCTTGTTTTAATGGAAACACTAAACAAGGAAGCAAAGGTTAGAGCTTTCATCTTTGAGATTAGTGTACAAATGTACACACCATACATTTAGATCCCTGCACATGGGTACATTTGTATTTTGAATACTTTCACTTTATTTTAGAATATCTTTGTTGAAAAGGGTGATGTTCTTAAGGTGATTGGCTTCATTGAGGTCCAACAAAGTCTTGTGATAAATAGCAATGTATTACACATAGTAAATTATAATTATGCTAGATTTTCACATTCTGAAAATGTCCTTGGTCTTTAAGCTGTACTAACTGGAAACACAGCCAGTGAAACCATAACATTATACATCCAACTATGACAAATTCTGCAATGCACTTAGTTGGAATTGCAAGCACTGCTGCAGTAGAAACATAAGCAGTAATGGAAAATTTATGTAGCTAACAAAATATTTTTCTTATTTTCTAAGACAAGAGGATTAATATTGAGATGTTTTATGTTCAGCAAACTGGGTTATACCTTCTGTGAAGGTTTATACAGGAGCCATGAATCTAGAAATTGGAGTAAGCAATTAATAATATCATGGCAGTTCATCTTTTTTTGGATTTTTTTCTGGGTTTCTTTCAGTGTTGTTTTTTCAGGCATTGTCATCTTTCTTAACAAATCAAAGCAATTTAAAAACTTGCAAATGTTAAATAAGAGATAAGAAATATATGCACTTAGGATTTTTTTTTAGGTAAAAACTCCTGATAAGATTTGGTTCAAAGTGAATGCAACATTATAAAGCAAGTTATGAGCTTTTATTTTCAAAGGCATCTTGCATTATTTGCTCTTGTTCTTTTACATGGGTCCAATAGCACAGCTCAGTCTGATGCACAGTCTAACCTGTAGCTCCTCAGAACTCTTGAACTCATTCTGTGTATAGGAAAAAGTGTAGCATTTGTTATTTTTCTTTGAACATTATTTGAACATTGTAGCCATACTTCTATAATCTTAGGCTAGGAATGAATGTTTAATCAGTGCTGAACATTCTGGTGACCTTTTTATAAAATTTGTATTAGCCTTATGTGGAGATTAAACCTTGAGTAGACGAAGGGATATCTTTTGTGTCATGAGCATGCCAATGCTATAGAAATATAGCTGATGTCAGAAAGTCTTGGGGAAAAGCAAGCTTGGATGTCAGCAGCTGAATGTCCTGAAGCTCCTCTGTGGCTGTGCTCCCCCTGCAGACCATGCACCGTGCCTGTGGGTCCCACCGGGCCGACAGCAGCGACACCGTCATCCACTGCCCTGCCCTTCCTTGGCACAGACAGAGGCAAAGCAGGAGACACCGACCCAAATGACACCTGTCAGAATGCAGAAAGGAGAGGAGCACAGAAACAAACCTTCAAACAGGATGCTGGAACTTGGGGCACACAGACGAGGGAGTGAGGCAAGAAAATTGGCCCCGGAGGTGCTAACACACAGCAGTGGCTGGTCAAGGGTGGAAGAACAGGAAAGACTTGCAAGATGGAGATTAGGTTAAATGGGAATTGGACAAAATAACCCAGAATGGGAGTGGGAAGTGAGGGATGTTCACTCAGATTAATTTGGAGAATGAGGAAGTAGAAGACAGGGTTACTGGGCAGTTTGAACCACGGAGCTCAGGAGTAAAAGAATGGAACTAGGACTTGCTGAGCAGAGAGACTGGGACTGAAAGGACAGCCTTAGGAATGAAGAATAAGACTTTTGAAGTGGGACTGGGAAAGAAGAAGGAAGAGGGGCAGGAAGAAGTTCAAGGGACAGGGCAGAAGAGGCCATACTTCGGTGTGACTGCCAGAGAGGGGTCAATGTCTATCAGCGCATGACATCTTCCAAAGCCACACACGACCCCAGGATGACAAATTCTCCTTGTGCATTTGCCAGCAGAGAGGGGTGCCATGGAGTACTCAGAGTCAATGGCTGCTGCTCACTTCTGTGAGAGTAGGACTTAAAAAAAAAAGGCTTTGAAGAGAACATCAAGCACTTAAGTAATTTTCCTGTGCCTTAGTTTTCCATGTGTAAAATGGAAGCATACTGCTGCCTCCCCTCACAGCAATGTTTTCAAAATAAACTGATGAATGTTTGTTAATCAGACAGACGCTGTAGTAGCCTGGAAAACCCATGAGGTGCATGGAAAACCCATGATGAAATTCATAATTTTGTCTTCAGAGAAGAATATGAATAATGTGTAGCAAATAAGTCCTGGGACTACATATTGAACAAAAGCAACTAGCTGTTACAAGAAAAATAGTTCATTATGAACGCACTATTCATTATGTATGCTGAATGAATCAGAATTTATGTGGAAAAATTAGTACATAATCATGCAGTTAAAGGCTATATCATAATCTAAACAAAGTGTCCAACGTCAGGTTATTCAAGTATGCTTCATTCTGGTAATTTCTAAGCATTGATGGCTTGAGCTATACAATCTCACTAATGTGCTTTTCACTTTGCCTTCATATACTTGAAGATAGTATTTAGGCATCAGGATCAGAGCTGGAACTGGTGTCTTGGCCAGTTTCAATCAATTTCATCACCTTCCAAACACTTGGCACCATCACAACTGTTTAGTCTACCAGGCTTGTATAAAAACATTACATCATATAAACTAAGATGTCATTTCTGGTTTATGTAAACAGCTTGCATCTTTGGCTCCTCATGTTATTTGAGCATGTCTCATGTTTTCTAATTTATTTCAGGAGTTTATTACCATGCTGGATTTATTGGAGGACTCAGAAATATTTTTCTGGAGTTCATTAATTGTGGTTTACATTGCCATATTGTGTACACATTCACCTTTCAAACAGAAGGGATAAAGTGACATCATCCAGTCTCTGGATGAAATCTTCAAATCCCCTTTTTGGCA